CAGACTGCCTCTCTAGATTCCTCTTCTCTGGTCAAGGCATCTCTAAAAGCAAAGCAGCAGTCCCAGTCAGGGACGTACAAATCAAACTCCCATCTCAAAACACCTGGGGTAACAAAGCACCTGGGACAAAGCACCTTGGGAAAGGGGCGGCTGTGGGCACAGCTTCAGAAGATTTAAGTGTTTCTGCCTGTCAGCACTGAAGAGAGCAATGGATCTCCCAGCACTGCTCACAGGCTCTGCTAAAAGACAGACTGCCTCCTCAGGTGGGTTTCTGACCCCCGTGCCTCCTGACTGGGAGACACCTTCCAGCAGGGGTCGACAGACATCTCACACAGGAGAGCTCCAGCTGGCATCTGGCAGGTGCCCCTCTGGGATGAAGCTTCCAGAAGAAGGAACAGGCAGCAATCTTTGCTTTTTTGCAGCCTCTGCTGGTGATACAGGCAAACAGGATCTGGAGTGGACCTCTAGCAAACTCCAAAAGAACTGTAGCCCCTGCTCTTTTTACTTTTCTGTATGCTTGACAGATTTTTTTTGCCATCTCTTTACTTTTGGACTACGGGTGTCCTTGCATGTGAGATGGGTCTCTTGAAGACAACATACAGTTGGGTCTTGTTTCTTTCTCTCTCTCTCTTTTTTTTTTTTTTTGACAGGGTCTCACTCTGTCACTTAGGCTGAAGTGCAGTGCAGTGTCATGATCACAACTTACTGCAGCCTGCACCTCCCCAGGCTCAGGTGATCCTCCTACCTCAGCCCCCTCAGTAGCTGGGACTACAGGCATATACCACCATTCTTGGCTAATTTTCTTATATTTTTGGTAGAGATAGGGTTTTGCCATGTTGCCTAGGTTCATCTCAAACTCATAGGATCAAGCAATCTGCCTGCCTCAGCCTCAAAGTGTTAGGATTACAGGCATGAGCCAGGGTCTCGTTTCTTTATCCAACTTGCCATTCTGTGTCTTGTAAGTGGGGTGTTTTGCTCATTTATCTTCAAGGTAAATATTTGTAAGTGTAAAGTTGATCTTGTCATCATTGTTAGCTGATTGTTATGGAGACTTAATTGTGTAGTTCCTTTATAGCGTCACTGTTCTGTTAAGTGCATTTATGTGGTGGTTGGTAAGGGTCTTTTATTTTCATGTTTAGCACAGGCTTAATGACTTCTTGTAAGGCAGGTCTGCTGGGAATAAATTTCCTTAGCATTTCCTTGGCTGAAAAGGATTTTATTTCTTTTTCACGTATAAATCTTATTTTGGCTGGATATGAAAATTTTGGTCAGAATTTCTTTTCTTTAAGAATGCTGAATATAGACCCCCAATGTCTTCTAGCTTCTAAGGTTTCTGCTGAAAAGTCTGCAGGTTGCCTTTGTAGGTAACCTGCTCCTCCTCTCTGGCTGCCATTAATGTTTTTTTCTTTCACATTAAACTTAGATAATCTGATTATTATGTGTCTTGGGGATGGTTGTCTTTTATAGTATCCTGCAGGGGTTCTCTGAATTTCTTGAATTTGAATGTTGATCTCTATAGTAAAGTTGAGAAAATTGTCATGGACAATATCCTCAAATATGTTATCAAGTTGTTTGCATTCTCAATCTCTCTCTCTCTCTCTCTCTTTCTCTCTCTCTCTCTCTCTTTCAGGGACATCAGTGAGTATAGATTTTGTCTCTTTACATAATCTTATATTACTCAGAGATTTTGTTTATCCTTCTATATTATTTTTTCTTTCTTTTGTATGACTGAGTTAATTAGAAGAACTGGTTTTTGAGCTGTGAGATTCTTCCCTCATTGTGGTCTATTATGCTTTTAATATTCCAATTGTATTATAAAATTATTTACTAAATTTTTTAGCTCTATCAAATCAGTTTATTTCTTTCTTAAAATGGCAATTCTGTCTTTCAGTTATTGTACCATTTTACTGGATTCCTTAGATTCTTTGGATTGGATTTCAACTTTCTCCTAAATCTCATGATTTTCATTACCATCCAGATTCTAAAATCTATGTTTCTTATCTCAGACATTGCAGTCTTGTTAGCAATCACTGTTGGGGAACTAGTGCATTCATCTGGAAGTAAGAGGACACTCTGGCTTTTAGAGCTGCCTGAGTTCTTCCACTGGTTCTTTCTCATCTATGTGGGCTGACTTTCCTTTAAGCTTTAAAGTTGCTGTCTTTTGGATGGGGATTTTTGCTTTTATATTCTTTGATGCCCTCGAAGGTTTAGCTGTGGTATAAGTTTGGTTCAACCAGCTAGCTTTATTTCTTGATGATTTCAGGCAGGCATGGCTCAGCTCAGCATTCCTGGGCTATGTGCTCTAACCCTGAGGGCCTGGGACCAGGCCCAGAACCTTGTTCTTTGGCCTCTTGAGATTCAGCCCCTGCTTCACCAGAGGGACCAAGGTATTCCCGGGTCACTAGAACAATACTCCCATGGTTGAGATGGGGGTGCTGCCAGCAAAAGAGTAGTGGCAGTGGGGTCTGCTCTCACATGCATGTACTGGCAGCAGTGGATATGGTGGGGTACACACTCACATACATGTCTGGGGCAGGGCTGCAGGGTAGCACATTCCATGCACCTGTACACCAGGGATGGTAGCGTGGCAGGGTACATGCACGTATGTGGGCTAGTGGAGAAAGGGGAGCAGTGGTGAGGTCTTCATGCATGTGTGCACACCAGTGGTGGCAAGGCAGCGAGGTCTGTGTGTGCATGCCAGAAAAGCAGTTGGGGTTGCTGCAAGCAGGTGCATACTGATGTGAGGCCAGCAGCAGAAGCTCTCTTGTGGTTTGTTGGGGTGAGCCAGTGAAAAAGCTATGACAGTGGACTCTGAGAATTGCCTCAGTTGAGCATCTGAGGCTGTGCTGCAAGCAGATACAGACAGATGGGGATCCTGGGAGAGGCCAGCAGACATGGGGGTGCTCAGATCAGGCTAGCCCCATTCAACTAGCAAGGTAGCCTGTTCTGTCCAGGTCTGATAGTCAACAAAGTGGTCAAAGCCACCTAGAGGAGCATGGCAAGCCTTGGGAAATGGATATTCCTAACCATGCTCCACTGTAGCTGTTCTCACACCAAACCCTCTGGCTTACACAGAAGCTGGAGTCCTGTCCCTGCCAACTCTGCAAGCAGCTCTCCCTGCCAACTCTGCAAGCAGCTCTCCCTGCCAACTCAAATGTCTGTGTGGATCACAGGGTTTCCTGCAGCTAGGATTCCAGAGGTTCATGGTGAGAGCGGGCGACTTCATGCCTATTTAGCTCACCCTTTCCCTAGAAGCCACTGAGGACCAGGAACAAGTCCTAGTGTTTGGCAACCCTGTGTTGGGTTCGCAGCTTCTTCCCCACTTCAGCCCAGGGTCTGCATTCTCCCTCCATCCACTTTCAATGCCTTCTTTCCAATGATCTGCTCAAAATATGCTGCTCTTCTTGATGGCCTTATCTCTTGGTGGGAGAAGCTCTTCCTGGCTGCGTCTAGTCAAACACCTTGTCTCTTCTCCCAAAAATAAGTTTGATTGTATATACTTTTGGCTTTATTTCCATTTCCTGGGTGTCCTAGCATCCTCTCTACTGATCTCTCAGTATCTTCAGGTCACAGGGTGACTATACGTGCAGCAGAGTCACTTAGGGCCTCCTGGAGCCGAGAACATGAGCAGTGGAGGCAGAAGCCAAGCTGGGTGAGTGTGCACAAGGAGACAAAGACCTTGCCAGATCTGGGAAGCCACCTCCTCCAAAAAAAAGTTATACCCATACATGGAATTCCATTCAGCAATAAAAAGGAATGGTTACTAATACACTCAGCAGCATGAATTACAACCACAGGCCAAATTGAAGGCAAAAAAAAAAAAACCAATACAAAGTATATATGTTTATTTCTATCTTAATAAGATCATAGAAAATACACATTTAAGCGTAAGTGGCATGAAGTATATCAGTATTTGCAAGAACGCCAGGTTGATGGTGTGCTTGACTACAAACAGGTATGAGGGGTTACGAAATTTTATATCTTGATTGTGATTTTGTTTACATGAACTTACATAATCGCCAAAGTTAATGGAGCTTTATTTTATACACTTAAAGACTGAAATTTTACTGTAAATTCTACATCAATAAAATTTATTTAAATAGTTTTAAAGAAACAAAAAAAACGAAAACAGTGAAAAAGAAACATTGACAGATTGAGGAAGCAAACTTTGCAACTTCCGGAAAGTGGACACCATCTCGTTTGCTTTATCCTCCACTAGCTTAGCAGCTGTATGTGTCTGTCTCAAATCGGTACCTAAAACATTAGTTGAATTGGTGAATGAAACCTAAAGGAATTAAAGTTTAGCTAAGGCTGTCACAGATAGCACACTCCTTTAGGAAATCTGTCTTCCATATACAGTGCAACAGTTGCCTCGATCCCACTCCAACCCTGAGGTCCCACCCTCTTGCTTCTCTTTCTTAAGCATTCTGTGACATATCTCCCCCACTAATCATCATGCATAACTTGCATACCCTCTCTCTATTTGTATTTGTAACTCTCTCTGTTTAGAAAATAAGTGTATCAAGGGGCAAGGCTGCACTTTTCCTTGAAAGTTTAGGGAGAAAATGAGGGAGCTAAAGGAAAGTAGAATTCCTCTTCTAGGTATGAAGCATTTACACAAAAAGAGAAGTATCAATATTTCAAATGCCACAACAGCATCAGGAAGGAAGATAATGAGAAAAATTGCCAACATGACAGTTAATCCAACTTAGATACGATGTTTTGTTTCGTGTTTCGCTGAGCACATCCTATGCAAGAAAGGCACATTTATCACGATTCTTGCCTCCAAAAATCTTAAAAATGTGAGGCGAAAGACCCAAGTAGCTGCAACACAGGGTGGGAACTGCTGCATGCACGTAACAGTTGAAGTGTTCTCTGGGTTTGGTATGGGTCAAGGAAGATCGCTGGAGGAAATGACATCAGAAATGGGCTTTGAAGGTTGAGTGCTATTAAAAACATGGAGATTCCAAGAAAGCCATTCTAAACTCTAACTTGGTATATATTAACAAATGTTTATTAGGCAGAAAGAGAAACAATTTAAATGGAGAGTAGAAGGGATGGCATCATTATGTTGTCTTAGGCTCTTGAGCTGCTGGGTTCTTATTACAATGGGGGAGTCGGGGGAAGAGTCTCATAGAATGTCCTGATATGACCTGTGAAGGAACAGAAATGGGAGATACCCTGAATAAGTTGGAGGTGATAACTGAGGATAAGGTGGTGTAGCCAGTAGATAAAAGCTAAGAGAGATAAAAATGGAATGTGAAATAAGAAACTGGGAGGAGAGGAGGAAATACAAAAACTCACCAGTGCTTCTTAAACCATAACACAAGGACTATTAGAATCACCAAGGTCACCATCACTACTACCAAGGCAGTCCAGTTCATGGAAAAGTGGTGTCCTGCGCATATTGGAAAGATACATGGATACCATTTTAAACTCACTGCCGATCTTACTCCATCTATTGATTTCCTTACTTAACATGTGCATGGGATGAGTTGCATCAATTATCCTATTTCGGTCACCCTGTTCCCAAATTTACTCAAGGACGGATTCCTCACTTCCTCTTAAATCTCTAGTATCCATGTGTCCCTCTGGTCCTGCTCCTCTAGTTTTAAATTACCCTATTCATTTCTTTCTACGATTCCTCACCTAAGTCTACTCTCCTCAAAATTTCCTCTCCCCTACCCTCTAAGCTCAAGAACCACTACCCACACTTCCAATCTTCAATCTTACCCCAGTAGAGGATGATGTCCTGGCCTCCTAGACTGCTGTGTCTCACTCGACAAGACAGGCCAGCAGCCTCCTCAGATGCCACATCCAGGGTCACCTGAAGATACCATGTCCCATCAGCATTAGGAAGAATATCACCATATTCAGTGCCCAGTTGCTCTTGTTCATTTCGCATCCATGTCACCCAAACAGGCTTTGGGTAGAAGCCGGAGACATGACAAGCCAGCAGTAGCCGGCCAGACCCAAGGCTGGGGCGACTGGACAGCCAGGCCTCTGGCCTCACTACAGAGAGCAGAAAAAGAATTCTGATGAAGAAACTTACACACAGCTTACATCCACATTCACACATTCACATTAATATGCACAGTTACCTTTCTCCTGCCTCTAAGAAACTATCACCCAGCAACCCCTCTGTTCTTCTCTTCTTTCTTGTCCTAAGTTTGAAGGGTGGGAGCGTAAGGGGCAGGACTTGAACAGAAAAATCTTAGATGAAGGATCTGAAACTACTGACCTTGCCTATGTAGATACATCTTCCCTGAATCCAGGAGGCCCAAGAGAAATCGGGGGCAGGTGCTTCTTAGGAGAGTATTTACTGTTTCCTTAACGCCTTCATACTGATTCAGTAGATCACAGACACTTTGGGCCAAACTCCCACAGTCTGGAGATGGCACCCATGTTATATTTTGGAAATTCAGTAAATCTGCTCCTTTGAAAGCTACCTGAAAGAAGCTTTTGGGGCTCTCTCCAGAATGCAGCTCACAGCCTGCGTTCATCTGTACTTCGAAGGGATCTGGAGGAAGGGAGGAATGAGAAGAAGAGTTCAAACAAAAAAGTGAAAATGAAAACATAAAAACCTAGGGCTGTATTGGGAAGTGAAGCAAGAAGGTTTTATATGAGATTGAACCAAAGACATATGAAACAAGAGAGAAAAATTGCTGGGGATAGGGAAGGGGGACAATAAGAGATAAATGCTGGCCGGGCGCGGTGGCTCAAGCCTGTAATCCCAGCACTTTGGGAGGCCGAGGCGGGTGGATCACAAGGTCAAGAGATCGAGACCATCCTGGTCAACATGGTGAAACCCCGTCTCTACTAAAAATACAAAAAATTAGCTGGGCATGGTGGCATGTGCCTGTAATCCCAGCCACTCAGGAGGCTGAGGCAGGAGAATTGCCTGAACCCAGGAGGCGGAGGCTGCAGTGAGCCGAGATCGCGCCATTGCACTCCAGCCTGGGTAACAAGAGCGAAACTCCGTCTCAAAAAAAAAAAAAAAAAAAAAAAAAAAAAGAGATAAATGCCTTGACAAAAAAAAAAAAAAAAAGTGGCTAAGGAAGGTGTGGAAAAATGATAGGTGAGCCACATAATATAAGATACAGGGTGAAGGGGGAGCCTGTGTGAGGGAGGTGGGAGGATAGCAGTTCATGCATGATGCATGAAATTAGTCAGAATGGTTGCCGAACTGTGGACATAGATCTTTGAATAAAGTGAATGAGGGAATAGATTTTATTTTAAGGAAGTCAAGCACAGAGTGGGACAACTGTGTACCTCTGGATTGTAGTATACAGAGGAAGACCACAGGAGGAAGACAACAAAGCATGAGAAAAAAAATATTCCAAAAATAGCAAAAGCCTAGGAAATTTGAGGGAGTCAACATCTGGAATATTCCCTAAAAGGTTCATGTATGCAGAATTTATGGTGGGATGGGATAATGGGAAATGGCCCAGAAATTAGGAGAGAATATTTCCCAGAAATAGAACATTCTGAAGAATTCCCATAATTTCGTTGATTGAACTTACATTCTGTGGGATATTGACTGGCATGGGCTTGAATATCCTGCACCAATCTAATGCTGTAGACACGAAATAACCTGTTTAGGTATAAGAACTCCTCATTGCTGAAGTTGCCCTTGGCCCAGGTATGCAAGAAAGTTATTGTGTTTGATTCACGCTCCCAGCCATGAGTTTGCAAATCGTCCAGCCATCCTGAGCCCTGACATTGCGCCCAGGATTGGTTGGCAAATGATGCAGTCTGGATAACATGGAATGAGACGTGTTCCGGGGCTGCTCTTGGTGGAAGAAGGCCAAGTTCTATAAGGAAAAAAAAAAAGAGAGAGAGAGGCAAGGAAAATGGAGAGGAAATGGAAAGTGAGCCAGTTACCATGGAGAAATGTTAATGACTACTTTTGCCATAACATGTTCCTTACACAGAGCCCGATGCTCTGCCACCATCCTCCAAAGCAGTAAACTATACCTGGAGACAGGTATACTCAGATGGCAAGCATTCTGGCATCTTCACTGATCCCCCATGGGAAAGCCCGCCATGCTCTACCCAGACACACGTAACCTTGCAGCTGACAGAGATGTTCTTACCGTCTGCATTGCCACCACCTGGGAGGAGAACAGCTAGCAACGGAAACTGTAGAAACAGCAGAAACAGCATGTCATTCACAGATGTTCCTTTCTCTCAGCAAAGCTGTTTGCCGATCTCTGTTCTCAGCCGACTTACCCCTTTGTATATATATTCTGACTTCCTTCTACCAGCAGATGATCTGCGCTACAAGCCACTAACAGCAGCTAAGAAGGTCTGCTTCCCTCCACCTTGGGCCTCCTACTCAGTCTTTCATTTCCTCACCTGCTCTGAACGGAAGTTATTGTCTTGTCTCAGGATTCCAGCTGCTCTCCCACTAAGCTCCTTCATATCTACTTTCTTTCCTCAATTGCCTTAGACAAGATGGTGTGTGGCATTGAAAAGTCACTTCATCCCTCTGAACCTTGCATAGCATTTGTAAGATAAAACGGAGAAACTGCCTTCTTTTTCCAGTTTCTGGTTTTTTTGTTTGTTTGTTTTTTTTTTTTTTTTTTTTTTTTGAGACGGAGTTTCGCTCTTGTAACCCAGGCTGGAGTGCAATGGCGCGATCTCGGCTCACCGCAACCTCCGCCTCCTGGGTTCAGGCAATTCTCCTGCCTCAGCCTCCTGAGTAGCTGGGATTACAGGCACGCGCCACCATGCCCAGCTAATTTTCTGTATTTTTTTTTTTTTTTTTTTTTTTTTTTTTTTTTTTTTTTTTTTGAGACGGAGTTTCGCTCTTGTTACCCAGGCTGGAGTGCAATGGCGCGATCTCGGCTCACCGCAACCTCCGCCTCCTGGGCTCAGGCAATTCTCCTGCCTCAGCCTCCTGAGTAGCTGGGATTACAGGCACGCGCCACCACGCCCAGCTAATTTTTTTGTATTTTTAGTAGAGACGGGGTTTCACCATGTTGACCAGGATGGTCTCGATCTCTCGACCTCGTGATCCACCCGCCTCGGCCTCCCAAAGTGCTGGGATTACAGGCTTGAGCCACCGCGCCCGGCCTAATTTTCTGTATTTTTAGTAGAGACGGGGTTTCACCATGTTGACCAGGATGGTCTCGATCTCTCGACCTCGTGATCCACCCACCTCGGCCTCCCAAAGTGCTGGGATTACAGGCTTGAGCCACCGCGCCCGGCCCAGTTTCTGTTTTAACAGATCACGTTTCTTCCAGTTTCTCCACTTAACTTCGCCTCCGCTCTCCATAGTGTTCCCTCTTCTCATCACTCCATTCTTGTTTTTCCCTTCTGGGTGTCCTCAAAGTTTTCCCTTTCCAATTTCACCCCTTTTTGATCCATCTTTCTTATTTCCTTATTCTCACTGATTCTTTTATAAATTTGAGATCTTGCTTTTTTATATTTTCCAGGATTTCCCTGTGCAGCTGTCTAAACTGCAATCTACTCTGTATTATCCTTGGAGATAAAATTGTAGTTATTCAGATTGCATAGGTCCTTAACAAACATGAAGAAGCCCTTCTATTGCATTTGATCTGTATAGTAACTCTCTAAAAAATTACACAGTACATGGTTGGTAGCAGTGTCTTAATAATCATATAAACATACAGAGATTAACAATGTAATCTCTTCTATCAAAAAGCTTTAAACTGCAGAAGACATTTAAACAAAAAATTAAAATGCATTGTGATTTTCATTTCAATGTGTAGAATACCAGATATAAATCTACTTAGAACTATATTCTCTAGAGAAGCATTTTGACTGCCTAACTGCCTGGGAAATTCATAATTTGAAGTCCTGGAAGAATAGTAGTCATTTCAACTGAGGACTAAATTCTGTACTGTATGGAATTGTATAGGATTATGGTAGTTGGAACATGCAGCTTTTCAAGAGGACTCATACATGGGGAGACCACAGAAATCTATATTTAAGTTAAATTTTGTGATCTGATCAAAATGCATTGTATAAAAAGGGCAGCATTTGTCAATATTTGATTTAAATAATTTATATGAAGCATTCAGTGATTCATCAGTGACCCTGGCTGGTTAATATGTGTAAATACATGAACACAAAATCTTTTTAAGATCCAGGAAGTATTTTTACTATTATAGTGTTTCTTAAATCACATTAATTATTCACTGAATACATTGGAGCAGACACTTAAAGTCTGGGCCTGAATTTGTGCTGCGCACAGTGGCTCATGCCTGTAATCTCAGCACTTTGGGAGACCAAGCTGGGAAGACCACTTGAGCCCAGGGGTTTGAGACCAGCCTGGGCAACAAAGTGAGATTTTGTCTCAACAAAAATTAAAAAGTTAGCTGAATGTCCCAGCTACATGGGAGGCAGAGAGGTAGGAGGATCTTTTAAGCCCTGAAGGTCAAGGCTGCAGTGAGCCATGTTCATACCACTGTGTTCCAGCCTGGGTAACAGATCAAGACTCTGTTTCAAAAAGAAAAATCCCATTTGTAACATTGTTTTTTTTTCAGATTTATTTTTATTCTACATATTTACTGTGTAAACACAATGCTTTGATATTTACATGATTTCTTACTTAGATTTGTCCATGTTAACAGTGAGGCTGGAAGTCATTCTCAACGAGCTCTTCCTATCATGGCCACAAATATTTTGCAATTTCTGTGAGCTACAAAATCTTTAAGAGCAATACCCAGTTCAATCCCTACCCTAATCATTCATAAGCACCAGATGTCATCTTTGTCCATCTTGTGCTGTTAATGGCAAATACGTGGTTTGTGATTTTAGAAAGCAATAGCAGATACCATAGTATGTGTTTATCACATTTCCCCCTGCCCCGTGGGCCTACAGGAAATATGCAAACCTCCTAATGGTTGGGTTAAGGTCATGGACTGAGTTCTGGGCAATGGAATGTGTGGTGCTGGAAGCATAAGCCAGCTCCAATCCTGACCACTGAAAATGTCACATCTGATCGTCTTGCCCTGCAGTACCAGCTTGGTGGTCAAATTTCCAAATGGCAAGGCTTTAAGATGGAGAAGAGCAGCCTGATCTACATGCAGTTTACCTATATGAGAAAGAAATCTCGTTGTGTTAAGCCTCCAAGTTCTAAAGTTTATGTACAACCGCAACATAACCTAGCTATATTGGATAATATTATAAAAACCCAGTAAATATCATCCTTTTTGCCCTCTTGAATTCAGAAGCAAACAAGATGAAAATAACACGAGATAGATGGATCTAGTGGTCAATCTTGACTTCTGATAATGCCACTAGATAATTTGCTTTAAGTGTGTAATCCAAGTGATCTTGTTTGTAGTGGACCCTAAATGGAGTAGCCTTCTCACTGTTATAGACTGAAAGTTTGCACACCCTCCCAAAGAAAAAAACTTCACATATTAAAGCCCTAACTCTCAGTGTGATTATATTTGTAGATGTAGCCTCTAAGAAGTAATGCCAATCTCGTGTCTATAGGATAGGGTGCTGATCCAATAGGGTCGGTGTCCTTATAAGAAGAGACACTGGAGTGCTCTTCCAATTTCCTTCTGTCTCTGCCTCTGTGTGTGTGTGTGTGTGTGTGTGTGTGTGTGTGTGTGTGCACGTGTATGTATGTCTGTGTGCATACACCATGGAAAGACCGTATGAGCACACAGTGAGAAGGCAGTTGTCTGTACAAACCAGGAAGAGAACCCTCACTAGAAATTGATGGAGATTGTGAACTTCTAGCCTCTAGAGCTGTGAGAAAATAACTTCCCATGGTTTAACCAACCCAGCTTATTGCTTTGTGTTAGAGCAGTCCAGGAAAACTAATACACGACTTAGTTCAGGCAATCGTGTTAAAACCCTAAGTTTCCACATCTGAGCAGCTGTTCCCATGAGAGCTAGGCCCTGGAGGAGGAGTACAAGACTGAGCCGTCAGGGAGCAACTTGCCCACAGAGGTAAAGGGCAGGAGGAGATGCTGCCATAAACTTGCCCAGTTTCCCTCCTGAATTTATCAGTGAGATAAATCACTCTGTTTTCAGAGGAAAGATTACGGGATGAGGCAAGAAACAAAGGTATTTAGGGGAAATTCCCCCTCACGGAACCTAGACGAGTAAGTACCACCCCCACCTTTGTCATGGCAATACCCAACCAAATAGACACCTAGAAACGTGTCTTCTCTGGAAATTTCCCTCTCCTTTGCTCCCCGCAGTCACCACATCATTTCTCTCCATCCACCTGGTTTTTCCTCTCTGACCTGACTGATATGCAGTCCTGCGTTCATCATGTGGGACACATGATGAGCAATCACGGCCACAGTCCATGACCCTGCATCCAGCACTCTGCCCCAGAGTTGCCACGAGAAATGTGATCCTGAGAACATCTATCTCATGCCTAAAATATTCCAATTGTTTTCATGAAAAATAATCCAGACTCCTAAGTATGACAGTTTTATACACAAGAGTTTACATATATCAATCCCCAAAAAGGAATGGTGGAGGTAGTGTAAGAAGGAAAACTGGCAGATTCTTCACACTGGTGAATACTTATAAATATAGATGCAAGAATCTGAAACTGAGATAAAAGGCAATGGGGAGAAGAGTACGTGGTTACTAAGCTCTCTGAGCACACAAAATCCTAAAAGAATAATCTGAAGTGGGTGGGACACCCTGTGATTAGAACCCCGCCTGAACAGAGGGGCTGGGCTGTCCCCAAGGAGCCCAGTACTTTTCCTGTCACCAGCCTTCCTCAACTTCCCTTTTCTTGTCCTTTTGCTCAGACCAAAAATGTTGTTGTGATTGCCTTTGCCTGGGCTCTTCTTGCCTGTCCCTTCCCTAAGACCACTCCAGTGGATGACTTTTGCACCCCAAGAGAAAGAGAGCTTTCCTCAGAACTCTGAAGTCATGTCCCCACCCAACACAATCTCTGTCATCCCCTTCCGCTCCAGCACAAACTTTGCCCTCTGCCTACTTCCCTACTAGAGAAACCCCACAAGCCTTCCACAACCACATGACTTTTGCAAGGCCTTTCATTTCCCCCTCAACTCTTATTCAAATGATTCACTCTCTCTTTCTGGCCTACAAGCATAGTTCCTGTGGACTAGCCTACATCCTCCACCCACTCCCACCTACAACAGCAAAAAGGTCTCAGTCTGAGAGCTATGAAAACTCCTAGATGGACCACTTACTAGAAGCACCAATCCCCCACTGTAAAATGACAAAATTGGAAAAAAATTGATATTTTCTAATTCCATTTCAACTTTATTGTTCTTTGATTTGGCCGGTGCTTCTGTTCATTTCAGTTTACATAGAATTTTCTTTCTCTTCTCTGCTTCCTTGTCTTAATGCCATACTTTTCTATGATCTCATATTGCTTTCTACTTACCCTTTGTTTGAATTCCCTGGGTCTCCTCTCTATCTTATCACCAATTCTACGTAAACTCCCTACGCATTCATTCTAAGCAGCACCCTGGCTAAATTTTGAAG